AATGTATAATGGTACAGCTACCACGGAAAATGGTAGGGCGATTCCTTACAAAATTAAACACAGAATTACCATATGATCCAGCAATTCCACTTCTGAATATATACCCAAAAGAAGTGAAAGCAAGGACTGGAACAGATATTTGTTCACCCATGTTCACAGTAGCACTATTTGCAATAGCCAAAAGGTGGAAGCAACTCAAGTTCCATTCATGGATGAATGGGTAAACAAAATGTGGTAAACACATACAATGGAATATTATTCAGCCTTAAAAAGGAAAGAAATTCTGACACATTGTGAGACTGTGGAGTGCAGCTTACTCCATCTTGAAGCCCTAACCACTTGTTATGTCCTTTGTGCAAACTCTGCCCACAAAAGTTATACAGTAACTAGGGGTAAGGTAGAATAGGTAGAAACAGCTTGCTGACTGCAAAGAAGGAACTTAATGATTAAGTACTTGTACAGAAACAGAGAGTCCAGCTACCTGCATCACAAGACCACCAAAGATAGTAATCATTGTCTTAAGACATTTGGAGTTAGTGATGTTAGCTTGTTTCTTATTTAGTAATTGCCTCTTTGCTTTTTCCACTGCTTTGTGTGAACTGCCTGTGCAAACCCGAACTCAACCAAGAAGTTGCATGAAGAAACCTTGCATATGCCTCTGGGTCATCGCCCACCCAATCCATCACCCTATATGTAAGTTACCCCAATAAAATTCTTTGCTTTACTGCATGGAATTGCCTACTTTATTTTTCAGTCTCAAGATACCTTCTCAGTTTGGTGGGCATTTTTGCCGTCAACTCACCTTCAGACATACATGCTAAAATGAACTTTGAGAACATTATGCTAAACACAAGTTAAACATAAAAGGTCAAATACTGTATGATTCCACTTCTATGAGGCACCTGGAGTAGTCAAACTCATAGAAACACATAGTAGAATGATGGCTGCCAAGAGCTGGGGAGTTATTCTTAATAGGTATGGAGCTTCAGCTTTACAAGATGAAGAGTTCTGTGGATGAGAGTGATGACAGTAGCATAACAATGTGAATGTACTTAATGCCACAGAACTGTTCACTTAAAAATGGTTAAGAAGGTAAATTTTACGTTAAATGTACTTTACCACAAGTAAATTTTTTTTAAAAAGTACAGGGTGGCTTTCTGCAATTTCAACTATTCCCAAAGAAAAGCAAAAATAATCATCAATGCCCAGGACAGATCATAAAACCATAAGCACGTCCAGTTCTACTGCCCAAATGTCCAGTTTCTCTGCTGGAGCTACTCAACAATAGCAGTGTTTTAGTTTCCTCCTCCTTCCCAAACTCATCATTAGTTCCCCATCACTGGAGAAGGGAAAAAATTGGCTGACAAGACAGTAAGAGGAAAAGGTAAGGCAACACTAACAAGAACGTTTAAGAATACTACCTCTCGGTGGTTCAATTTTCTTATCTGTAAAATAGGGAAAATAATACGTCCTCCTTTCCAAAGGGCTGTTGTAAAGATTAGGTAAATTTATATATATAAAGTATTTAAAAGTGCTTAGCACATAGTAAATGCCCTACAAATGTTTGCTATCAGTATTATTGCCCAGGAAATTTCGGCAACATTTGGCCTCAACTACAACCTCAGCTCCCTCTCTTTCTCTTCTAAGCACTAACTGTTCAACAACTAAAAAAAAAAAATCTCCAACTGGATATTCTCAGTGAAGGACACTGCTAGCAACCTGGTCATCCAAGCCAGACTTGAGACTCACTGTTAGACTCCTCCCTCTCCTCACCCTCCACATCTTACCTCTCACCAAGCTCTGTAGACTGTTTCCTCAATAACTCTTGAAACAATCCTTCCTCTTTAACCAACCTTCCTTTATATTATGGGCCTTCATCACTTCTCCTAAGATTACTTATGTAGCTTCTGACTGGTCTTGGGGACTCTAACCTCAGTACCCTTTGATTGATCCATCTACAATTGCTGTAGGAATCTAATAAAACAAAAATCTAGGCAGAAGTATACAAGTAGCATTCACTATGTTGTAGGGTTTTCTTTTTCTTTTTCTCCTTTTTTAAAATTTTTATACTTTTAGGGCCGGCCCGTGGCTCACTCGGGAGAGTGCGGTGCTGATAACACCAAGGCCCCGGGTTCAGATCCTATATAGGGATGGCCGGTTCGCTCACTGGCTGAGCGTGGTGCTGACAACACCAAGCCAAGGGTTAAGATCCCCTTAACAGTCATCTTTTTAAAAATAAATAAATAAATAAATAAAATTTTTATACTTTTAAAATAAATCTTTAAAATTTCAATTAAAAAACAAAAGAAGAAACAAGTCTTCCCCTGATCAGTGGTGGTTGGGGTAAGGGGAGAGCAACAGGAGAAAATAATTGCACAAGAGCACAGAGAAACTTTTTGGAGTGATAGATATGTTCATTATTTTCATTGTAGTAATGGCTTCTCAGGTGCATACCTGTGTCAAAACTTAACAAACAGTACAATTAAATAAGCACAATTTACTGTATGTCGATTATTCCTCAACTCAAGAAAAAAACTTAAGAAAAAAAACGTAAATGGATCAAAAAAAACCTTTAAAAATAAATTTTCCCTTGCTTAAAATACTTCAATGGCTCTCTCCTGGCTTCAGGATAAACATCAAACTCCTAACCACGACACACAGGCCTTGTCTCCTCTAGGGCATTTCTCCACAAGTGCTCCTGAATCCAGCCAAATAGATTTACATACAGTTCCTTGATCATCTAGCATTATTAGCATAAACTAATTCTCCTCTATGCCCTTTACCCCCTTCTCTACCTAATGCCCTCTCACTTAGTTCAAGCATCTCTCCCTTGTCTTCAAGTATCTCTCTACTCTGCTCCCATAGCAACTGGCACAGACTTCTATCACAGCATCCCAAGTACTGAATTAGTAGTTTTCTATCTCTCCTATTAGAATATAAACTTGAAAGTAAGGTTTTTATTTTTCATGCTCAGCGCTTTGCACAGTTCCTGGAATGTAGTAAACACTCAAAATAGTTGCTGAATTAAAAAGAAAAAATCATTTAAATATAACTTATGTCAACTGATTCTCTGATCAACCCTAGCAACCTTACCAATTAAGAAAAACAGAGGCTCAGAGAAGTTAGATGACTTGCTCAAGGTCACACCCATAGTAAGTAGTGGAGCCAAACTTTCAACCAAGGCTCTTCAGACCCCTGGACAGGTGCATGTTCCCGTATTTATGAACTCCTCACAGTGCCTAGCCCAAATGCCTCTTCAGAGTAGGTGAAAAATAAAGACCCGCTACTTTCATGTTTACTGCCACTTTCAACTAGTCCTAAGAGAGTTTATGTTGCTTTATCACACGTTACGTTATAATATATGATAAGACTTCAGGGAGTCACAGTATAAAGTGAAAGTGACTTTCCTTATATAAACTTCAACTATAAAAAATAAACTGGCATTGTACCAAAAAAGATAAACAGAAAAGGATAAATAGGAAAAAAAGATCCAACTAATAGAGTGTAGATGGAGAGGTGGTTTACATGGATTCTACCACCTAGGAAGAAACGAACCTGCAACAGTCCACATGCTCAGGGGCAAGAATATTTAAGACAGCTGGGGCAGCCACTAACTGCCAAGACACATCAAGGTGTTTGTTTCAGGTCTCTAGCCCACAAAACTTTTCATCTTTTCCCCCAAATATTCATCTTAAAATCTAAGTTAGAATATCCTAGTTGCCGGGCCAGCCCGTGGCTCACTCGGGAGAGTGCGGTGCTGATAACACCAAGGCCCCGGGTTCGGATCCCATATAGGGATGGCCGGTTCGCTCACTGGCTGAGCGCGGTGCTGACAACACCAAGTCAAGGGTTAAGATCCCCTTACCGGTCATCTTTAAAAAAAAAAAAAAGAATATCCTAGTTGCCATTTCCCCAGCAGTCCTCAGATCTGAATCAATTTCTGCCCTGGCATCAATAATTATTTCACCAAGTGAACTTTTCTGTAGGTTACAGGATCTATTCTTAAAACAAATATTTATTGAGCAGCAATTGAGGGTACTGCACTTTGCTAGGCTGGCAAGGAGTACAAAAAGCAAAACTGCAGTCCTCCTAAGCCATATATAAAAAGATTAAAAACACGAGTGCAAAGTAACAACTCAAAAGACAGCAGAGGCAGGAAAAGAGTGTCTGCTATGGAAAACAATGTCCTTGACCCAGTTTTTGAAAGACTTGCTAAAATTATAAACTCTCCCATCCCTCCATGATTAGAAACTATGCTCTGTATCCTCCTAACCTTTTTTCTGCTGCCACTGTTTTTCTCCTTTAATTCCTAGAGGTCAGAGTATGCTAAAAGGATAGGTATTGAATCTCAGGAGGTGCAGCAGTTTCCCATATGGGTGCTAAAGAGTCCAGTAGTCCTTCCTTACCTCATTCGTTCATTCATTCAACAAGTATTTACTGAACATCTATAATGTGCCAGAAACTATGCTAGGCAAAGTGAAAACGACAGATATGGCCCCGGTTCTAGTGCAGCTTTCAGTCTAATAATCTATATTACACTGAACTGTACAGTTAATAATTGACTTATGATCTCTGAAACAAACCCAGAGAACCTCAGAATTCGTAGGGACTGCAAAAGATAAATATCTTCATTTTTCACACAGGGAAAGTGAGGACCAAAAGTGATTTGCCCAAGGTCACACTGTCCAGACTGGAACTAAAACCAGAGTCTCCCGAAACTCCAATCCAGTGCCCCCACGTACTTCTCTCCCTGAGGGGAAGAGGTTACAGGTGGTGACGGAGAAAAATCAAACTCCATCAAATAAAGGTCAGATGTCACTCTCCCGCTCCTGGAAAGACGGGGAAGCCAAGGCCAAAACGAAGGTTGGGAGGGGGGAAGCTGCCTCAGTTTCTCGCACGGGCTCCGCTCGCGCACTTCCTTTCACTTCCTCCCACTCCGCCCTCGCCCACTCCAACCCCGGGACCGGCGGGCAACCACAGAAAATTACTCCCTCACTCACAAGGACTCGCACCACCAACGCCATGTTCCCCAACAACCATTTCCGGGTTAAAGGTGGGCTTCCGGAGTCCCCGCAGCCACCACCCATTCACTACGCCGTCCTTATGCCAGCGGGAGTCAGGCAAACGGTGGCGCAGGCGCACACAAGCTGCTGTGCGCACGCGCGCGCGCGCGCTGTTCCCGCCCTGCGCGAGACTCGGGTGCCCGGTCGCGCCCGTCCTACCTTTGTCGCCTGTCTACCCCACATGTCACAGTGGCTCAAGTCCTCTCGCCCACGCTCTCCTCCTTGACTCTGGCCTCTGGACTCTTTTTTTTTTTTTTTTTTTTTTTTTTTTTTTTTTTTTTTTTT